TTTTTTAACAGAAATTTAGATTTTTAAAAGCAGAATAATAGTTTTCAGATGTATTTTACATATTTTGACTATAAAACGAAGGCAAATTTTCGCGGCGTGGTCACTTCAATATGAAAAATCTACAATCACCCCCTAAATTTGTTTTCAAAATTGAAAGATTCTAACAAAACCCTAATTATTCAGCCTCAAATAAGCTAAAAATATATTACAATTAACATTAGATGAGTGAACAGGCAAAACGCCAAAATAGATCTATGCTGGAGCACGAGGCCAACGCACTCATTCCCATAAAAAAAATTGAAGCAACGCTAATTGAAACCAATCAAACGCTAAATTGAAACGCATTCCACACGATCAAATGAAATTTGAATAAGTATTAGAGCTAAATACCTTCACGTGTCGTTTCTATTTATGAACAACACAAATGGTGACATGTCTCCCTTTCCAAGACCGAAGACAAAATGATGATCGTAGATAATGAAGACGAAACGAGCCGGAAGCCCATAGATGAAAACTTCTTCTATACCTATAATCCATTGATAATTGATTTGATAGGTGCGTTCAATTATACTAACTCAGTTTAATTCGTAAATTAATAGAAACTGATACACCATTACAGAAAATTATCCCAATAAAACTGCAAAACTTAGTGTATTTTAACTACTTGTATCAATTTCTAAAAATTAATACAGTCTTTCGAAGCAAATTAATTAAAAATAATATTAATGTGGACACTTCGTTAACATATGAATGGCGTATTCATGGTTTCATTCATTCATTTCACGATTTAAACACATAATAATAAGTTTTGCATTAAGCAAAGCATCTTGCGTTACGGGTTAAGTTAATGTTCAGGGTAGGCCAGTACATGAGTTAGAACTATTTTCAAAGCAATTTTTCTTAAGAAAAAAACACATTTTACAATATGTATTCATTCGTACAAAATTTTCACTATTTAATTCATCAAATTGTAAATTAATTTTTAAATTTAATCCAACAATTCTTAAAGAAAGAATTTAATTATCTAATCAGAATGTGTAAACACGTACATATTGTAAATACCCACAGATCGGGACTGGGGTTGATAAGAAAGATAAAAAGGTTCTTGACCGATGCAAGCTTTCCGGTCATAGTAAAAAAGTCAGAAAAATTGCGTTTTTTCGTGTTATCATACTGCATGCCTTTGTAACGTTAAAACAGTTAAATTTAAGGTCTAGTAGGCACTGAAAGAGCTCGAATGGACTCTTGCTTTGGAAATAAGAAAAAAAATAAAAGTCGGTGTTTTCAAATTGCATGCCAGTAAAAAGAAAGTTTTAATTATAAAATCCTTGCGAAAAAATAGCAAGCACATTTTGTTCACAATTACTTTTTCCATTCTTGTGCCAACGAAAGGGTCATGCCATTTTTTACATTACTTTTGTTTTGAATCAATAGCTATTTCTGATTAAGAATCGTCTATCTCCTTTACTATTGTTAGCTTATTACATTTTTATACTTTCGCAGCACCATTGTAGATATTGTTTCAGTACCATCAACCTGAACTCTAATTCTCTCCCATTTGTCAGACGATCTGTAGATATGGGCAAAAAGAAGTATTAGTTATACTATCAACTAAAGAAGGAATGTTTAAATTAAGTAAAATATGTAATATAATTAAAAACATGTTCAAAAACGAAAGCAAAACAGCTTATTATAAAATGGCGACGAGATGTCAATTTTATTCATGTCATAGGTAAATGTTACCAGGCTATAGAAATAACCGTAGATGTATAATGTCAATTTATACGGTGGACTATAGTTAAAAGAGAACCCCATAGATGCACAATAACATCGATTTATGCTGTGAACAATAGATAACAGAAGTAAAACCATAGATGCCAAAGATCGCAAATTACTATGAAAACTAGGTAACTTCAATATAATAGAAAAACAATTGCTTACCTGGAGGATTACTCTACGGTCCTCGAGATTTATTCCTAAGCGTTGATAAAGAGAAGTGTCTCTTAACAATAACCACACATCGCATTGCAACCTTACATGCATCAGCGTGAATCGAACTACATATATTTTCTAAAAATTGCACTATTCACAGCCAAGGGGCAGGACATTAAAAGGGCTCCAATTCTCCAGGTTTTGAATCCGTTTTACTTTGTCTCCTTCTTCATTTAACATGTTTAAAAGGCATCCTGTTGAAATAATTTAATGTGAGCTTCATTTTAAATATGTTTTAAAATATTAAGAACCATAACTAACACTAATCAAATAGTAGACTATTAAAATCAATACATAACTATTACAATTCAGAAATGTAAAAATTTATAGTGGTAATTATTGTCAAACAAATGGAATACAAGATTTGGAAAATCATGAATTATTTCGTAAGTACAACTTCATAAAACTATTAAAGATTTCTTACCCTTACCCTTTCTACAAACGACCCATTTCCATAAGCAAGCGAAACAAGCATGATTGGAGACCTTGCTTCTCCACGTTTCCTCTTTGATTTACCCTCTCCATGTACATTTATTATGTTTTAATATAAACCTGTTAAAACAATTTAATATCATTAGTTGTATGTTCACTAGATTTGTTATTTTATTATTAATGATAATTACCATCGTTAGCACCCTGTGTCCTATGAATTTTTGACCAGCTCATTACAAGCATTCTTGGAAATAAAAACATGTCTGGTTGCTACATGTAGTTTGTCCATTGAATCCAAGGATATCATCTCAAAGCAAACCTATATACAGAAAAAAACATAAGTCGTTAAAACCCAATCTATAGAATAACAAGGCAAAAGTGATAATTTTTTTAACAGAAATTTAGATTTTTAAAAGCAGAATAATGGTTTTCAGGTTTATTTTACATATTTTGACTATAAAACGAAGGCAAATTTTCGCGGCGTGGTCACATCAACATGAAAAATCTACAATCATCTCCTAAATCTGTTTTTGAAATTCAAAGATTCCAACAAAACTCTAATTATTCAGCCTCAAATAAACTAAGAATATATTACAATTAACATTAGATGAGTGAACAGGCAAAAAAAGACCTATGCTGGAGCACGAGGCCAACACGCTCATTCCCATAAAAAAAATTGAAACCAATCAAACGTTAAATTGAAACGCATTCCACACAATCAAATGAAATTTGAATAAGTATTAGGGCTAAATACCTTCAGGTGTCGTTTCTATTTATGAACAGCAAAAATGGTGACATGCCTTCCTTTCCAAAAGCGAAGACAAAATGATGATTGATGATGATCGTAGTTCGTAGATAATGAACGAAACGAGCCGGAAGCCCATAGATGAAAACTTCTTCTATACCTATAATCCATTGATAATTGATTTCATAGATGCGTTCAATTACACTAACTCAGTTTAATTCGTAAATTAATAGAAACTGATATACCATTACAGAAAATTATCCCAATAAAACTGCAAAACTTAGTGTATTTTAACTACTTGTATCAATTTCTAAAAATTAATACAGTCTTTCGAAGCAAATTAATTAAAAATAATATTAATGTGGACACTTCGTTAACATATGAATGGCGTATTCATGGGAGTATTTAAATCACGATTTAAACACATAATAATAAGTTTTGCATTAAGTAAAGCATCTTGCGTTACGGGTTAAGTTAATATTCAGGGTAGGCCAGTACATAAGTTAGAACTATTTTCAAAGCAGTTTTTCTAGGAAAAATTTCACGAAAATACGCAAATAGTACTTCCAAATTGCTATTAAGTAGATTAATTGAATAAATTCAAATATGTAGAATAAAATAATAAACATAAATTCCAACAGCTTTCATTAATAAAAAAAAATATTAACGACAATATTGTTATCAATTCATGTAATAACAACAAATGTACGCATTTCTACAAAATTTCACTGTTTCATTCATAAAGTTGTAAATTAATTTTAAAGTTAATCCAACTATTAAACTTTGTTCTTAACGAATGAATTCGGTATTCCATTCAGAAAGTTTATCTTCATACACACTTAAATAGAAACAGTCATTTCTCGGTGACTGACTGATACGATTAAAAAAATTAAACCAAGATATTACTTGAAGGACTATTAAAATGAAACACAACGTTATCGATTCATGTAACAAAAAAACACATTTTAGAATATGTATTCATTCACACAAAATTTTCACTATTTAATTCATCAAATTGTAAATTAATTTTTAAATTTAATCCAACAATTCTTAAAGAAAGAATTTAATTATCTAATCAGAATGTGTAAACACGTACATATTGTAAATACCCACAGATCGGGACTGGGGTTGATAAGAAAGATAAAAAGGTTCTTGACCGATGCAAGCTTTCCGGTCATAGTAAAAAAGTCAGAAAAATTGCGTTTTTTCGTGTTATCATACTGCATGCCTTTGTAACGTTAAAACAGTTAAATTTAAGGTCTAGTAGGCACTGAAAGAGCTCGAATGGACTCTTGCTTTGGAAATAAGAAAAAAAATAAAAGTCGGTGTTTTCAAATTGCATGCCAGTAAAAAGAAAGTTTTAATTATAAAATCCTTGCGAAAAAATAGCAAGCACATTTTGTTCACAATTACTTTTTCCATTCTTGTGCCAACGAAAGGGTCATGCCATTTTTTACATTACTTTTGTTTTGAATCAATAGCTATTTCTGATTAAGAATCGTCTATCTCATTTACTATTTTTAGCTTATTACATTTTTATACCTTCATAACAATTTTCCCAAAAAAGCTAACAAATTTTTCCATGTGAAGACGACAAGGGTAAACGAAGTGCAGTAAGAATACATCACCGTACACGATCCATTTGGGGACGCTCAGTAATATCCAAGGAAACTTCAGTATGCTTTTAATAACAGGCTAATCAGTAAAACAGAACAAGAGAAAACAAATTAGCTGCAATATTAATGAACAATNTTTAAATACATTGTGCATTTAATATAGATTAATATGGCCTTTTACAGCATGTAATTTAAATGAATATTTTCGAAGATATTACAGATTTAAAATACAGCTTTTCTATATAATATGCATATTATAACACTTTTAATTTTTACTATCAGAAATTGCAGTCTTAGGTTACAAAGGAGGGTAGAGAGTATATATGTAATTAAAAAGAGTAAACTTTAAATACATTGTGCATTTAATATAGATTAATATGGCCTTTTACAGCATGTAATTTAAATGAATATTTTCGAAGATATTACAGATTTAAAATACAGGGACATAGCGGTTCCGGCGGTACCGTCTGGTATGTGTTGTCTAATAACAAAAAAGCTGTGATTGTTGTATATAAAGACATTCTATAGTACATTTACTATCAGCATTGCACCCGTGCGAAGCATAGTGTACAAATAATACCATTAAACCAATTCCTTAACCCCTATCCCGGTATGTTTGAAGAAGTTTCACTTCAGTAGCGTGTTGTTTAATTTAGCTAATGAGACCTGTGTTCAGGTGGGCTGCTTACTTCTATAGGGGGTATATTATACCCAACATATTTTGTATACTGCCTGTGTATGTATCTGTACCAAAATGATCTGTTAAGTGTAATCTATAAGTGTTTATTTCCAATAAAAACTACTCAAAACACCTTCCCCCTGATTAATTCATGTAAGTTTAAAAAGTTACATTTTCGAAAAAGCCGTGATGCAGAAGTTTTACCAAGTTTATTTATAAAAAATCTCTTAAAATAATTGTTTGAAAAATCAACTTAATTTAATTCATATAGATGTCTGTAACTTTTTTATTAATTATAATTACCATGAATGACCTGTCCATGAAAGATTAATCATACCTGACCATTGTCAAGAATGAACATCGCGTGTAATATCGAGAAATTAAAGTCTTAAGCTGTAACCAGACCAGAGTACATGTATTTTGATGCTTCCTTCAGACAATAATTGTAAATTATTGTACAAACTTGTATCTGGTAGATTTAAATAAATAAATAAAAATTCGTTTTTTTCTTTTTTGTAATTTTATATTGAGATATTAGCGATGTATATTCAAGGTAATTCTTCTATATGAGATCATTTTTAAAAACTTAACGTTTTCTTGTTAAAAATGGCTTTGAATGACCAATTTAAGTCTGTCAAAAACATATATACTACATATATTATACCATGAATGCTCACCTTAATTAACCACATGATCCTCCAAAGTGAAAAGTTAACAGCAAGTACACCACAGCAGACAACTTATTTTTTCAGTAGCATCAAAATGTAGTTCAATACTCTCTTATTTATCATCAGTCTATAAAACAGAGAAGAAATACAATAAGATAAGGGCTATGTTCATATTATGCCAATTTATAACTTGGACATACAGAATATAGATAATTATTGAGGAAAACTTTAAAGGTAAGTTATAGAACGATTAATTAAAAATTTTGTAATAAATATTCACTATGTGTATAATGTCGTAGCTAACTGAAATAATTTCTGAGAACAGTGCTGGTTTTAAAAGCAACTAATTAACATTTAGTTTTAACAATAAGTACTTACGATTGTGAATTGTCTATTATCATAATCTTAATCGAAAGTTAAAAAGGTTAAATATTTTCTCATTTTCTATTAACCTTACATTTCTCAGCTCTCTCAAGTTAAAATATTCCTTTATTTAAAACATATTTTAACAATTCTTACTCATTTTTAAATTTGCATTGCTTAAAAAAATCTTTTGAAAAACTGATATGATTTGTAATGCTCATATTGTATTAACAATTATGTTCATAGATAATATTATGTTGGTTATTTTCATGTTATGTTATATATATTTCTTTAATCTATGGCTCTTATGCATAGATATCATAGATAAATACTCATATGTCACAGATGTAGATAATCGTAGATATGTATAATCATCATCTAATGTGACTTACTGCTGCTGTTTAAAATTTTCACTTGTGTTTACCATTAATTTTAAACTTAAACAATTTTCATGAAATAATAGGTGTTAAAAATATGGTAAAATCTTATTTATGGATAAAACCATTATTGCCAGCAATTCCAATGTTTACATTTATGATTTGCAAAATCTTACTGTAATTTGTACTCGTAATTGTATGTATACCATAGATAAGAGGTATTACTATACACGATATACCATAATAAAACCTGTTTAATAATTAATATCAATTAATATCAGTATGGTCATAGATAATAGTATGGTATTACATGTCATTTTAGTATGTATGTTTAAAGGGGGTTATGTTGTTATTGAGTTTTTCTTTTAACTAAAGATAGATTATTATATAAATTATATAAGATATAAAATGAGTGATAAGGATATTACGGAAAAAGAAAATCTTTCAAACAAATTTGTTTACTTAGATATTAAAATAGGAAATGAAAAAGGTAATTTGTGTGTGCAACATTTTTTAGNATACAACATAAACTGCAGAAGCAAAGTCGGAATCGGCTAAGTAGTAACAGTTATCTATGATCGATAAGTAACTTTGAAATACCCGCATAGGTTATACATCTCTATGATAAAATTGTTGAAAACACCTTTCCCCTGTTTTTTTCATCTGAGTTTCTTGTAAATAGACATTTTCCAACTAAAAGCAGTACTACAAGAGTTTAACCGTTAACGGCAAGTGCCGAAATGAACTGTTGGTAACTGTGAAGTGCAATAAAAAAATGTTTATTTTCAATAAAAACTACTCAAAACACCTTCCCCCTGATTAATTCATGTAAGTTTAAAAAGTTACATTTTCGAAAAAGCCGTGATGCAGAAGTTTTACCAAGTTTATTTATAAAAAATCTCTTAAAATAATTGTTTGAAAAATCAACTTAATTTAATTCATATAGATGTCTGTAACTTTTTTATTAATTATAATTACCATGAATGACCTGTCCATGAAAGATTAATCATACCTGACCATTGTCAAGAATGAACATCGCGTGTAATATCGAGAAATTAAAGTCTTAAGCTGTAACCAGACCAGAGTACATGTATTTTGATGCTTCCTTCAGACAATAATTGTAAATTATTGTACAAACTTGTATCTGGTAGATTTAAATAAATAAATAAAAATTCGTTTTTTTCTTTTTTGTAATTTTATATTGAGATATTAGCGATGTATATTCAAGGTAATTCTTCTATATGAGATCATTTTTAAAAACTTAACGTTTTCTTGTTAAAAATGGCTTTGAATGACCAATTTAAGTCTGTCAAAAACATATATACTACATATATTATACCATGAATGCTCACCTTAATTAACCACATGATCCTCCAAAGTGAAAAGTTAACAGCAAGTACACCACAGCAGACAACTTATTTTTTCAGTAGCATCAAAATGTAGTTCAATACTCTCTTATTTATCATCAGTCTATAAAACAGAGAAGAAATACAATAAGATAAGGGCTATGTTCATATTATGCCAATTTATAACTTGGACATACAGAATATAGATAATTATTGAGGAAAACTTTAAAGGTAAGTTATAGAACGATTAATTAAAAATTTTGTAATAAATATTCACTATGTGTATAATGTCGTAGCTAACTGAAATAATTTCTGAGAACAGTGCTGGTTTTAAAAGCAACTAATTAACATTTAGTTTTAACAATAAGTACTTACGATTGTGAATTGTCTATTATCATAATCTTAATCGAAAGTTAAAAAGGTTAAATATTTTCTCATTTTCTATTAACCTTACATTTCTCAGCTCTCTCAAGTTAAAATATTCCTTTATTTAAAACATATTTTAACAATTCTTACTCATTTTTAAATTTGCATTGCTTAAAAAAATCTTTTGAAAAACTGATATGATTTGTAATGCTCATATTGTATTAACAATTATGTTCATAGATAATATTATGTTGGTTATTTTCATGTTATGTTATATATATTTCTTTAATCTATGGCTCTTATGCATAGATATCATAGATAAATACTCATATGTCACAGATGTAGATAATCGTAGATATGTATAATCATCATCTAATGTGACTTACTGCTGCTGTTTAAAATTTTCACTTGTGTTTACCATTAATTTTAAACTTAAACAATTTTCATGAAATAATAGGTGTTAAAAATATGGTAAAATCTTATTTATGGATAAAACCATTATTGCCAGCAATTCCAATGTTTACATTTATGATTTGCAAAATCTTACTGTAATTTGTACTCGTAATTGTATGTATACCATAGATAAGAGGTATTACTATACACGATATACCATAATAAAACCTGTTTAATAATTAATATCAATTAATATCAGTATGGTCATAGATAATAGTATGGTATTACATGTCATTTTAGTATGTATGTTTAAAGGGGGTTATGTTGTTATTGAGTTTTTCTTTTAACTAAAGATAGATTATTATATAAATTATATAAGATATAAAATGAGTGATAAGGATATTACGGAAAAAGAAAATCTTTCAAACAAATTTGTTTACTTAGATATTAAAATAGGAAATGAAAAAGGTAATTTGTGTGTGCAACATTTTTTAGCATATGAAACATCTTATAACCATTGTTTAAAAATAAATAATGTTTTGTAGCTGGCAGAGTAATTATCAAACTCTACAACAATATTGCACCAAAAACTGCAGAAAATTTTCTATGTTTAGTAACGGGTGAAAAAGGAATTGGGAAGTTTGGAAAACCTCTACATTATAAAAATACAAATTTTCACAGAGGTAAGTTCTTTAAAGAAAGAAAGAAATTTTCTTTAAAACTGTTCAGTTAGCTCCATTAATTAATGAAAAGTCAATCAAGATTTCCTGTGTCAGTCAAAGACTTTTGATTTGTTATATTATTTTCAAAATTTCAGTTATAGTAGTTACATACAACAATAATGAATAAAAGTACTGTTAGTGTTAATTCTTTAATAAGCATTCGAGATCCACACAACTTTGAAAGATTACGTAAAAAGTGGTCTGAGCATGCTCGAATGGCAAATAGCAGCACATCCCCCCAGTGTTCATGTAATTCAACAAATAAATGCAAAGGTCGATTTGGCTTAGCATGGGTAACAACACTACCCCATGATTGCTGTGAACCTGTAGAGTGGCATTTTGAAATAATGGATTCACCATCAAAAGTGAAAAAAAAATTCAAGGAAATGGCTAATTTTATAAGTGACCATGGACATTGTCAACACCAAAAGTTTGCTGAATCAAAAAAGATTGCAAATTTCAGTCAGAATAATTTTAACTGTAAGTGGAAGGAAGAGAAAGAAAATAAAAACAGATCGTTTAATGCTGATAAACTGAAGGATGAAAAACAGGAATGTTGTTCTACAACTACAAGTCACACACAAACTGACTCACACCAAATTGAAGTAAATGCTGAATGCAACACCGATAATGAGAATAATTATTCCATATTTCAAGTAAGATTAATCTTCCATTACGAATTTAATTTTTTCATTGACAACTAATGGTATTAGGGACTACAGAACTATTTTCTAAGAGAAATTCTAAGAGAATGTCACGACCAAGTTCAAGATCAAAAAGTATTAAAATACACGAGAAGCAAAAGTATTATGAGAAAAGTGTTTGAAAATAATGGTAAAAAAAATCGGCAAATTTTACAACGGGTTACATTCAATTTAAATACAGGTTTACAAAAGAATAGTTATCCTGAAGAATTGTCTCCAGAAAATCAAACGACTGCATTCCCAATATTGCATGAGAAGCTTTCATCTGATAAAAAGCAAGAACAATGTACATTGAACAAAGAACAAGAGAGTATTCCTGCAAAGAATCAAATTTTTACACACGAATTTTCAAAACAGTTGTGTTTATCATCAAAGAATTACCAACAATCTGTTCAGAAACAGGTAAATGGGCCTACCGAGAAAGACCATCTGGATCCTTATCTATCTTCTCAGAAGGAAAAAGAATTTTGTGCTTGTCATGCGGAAAAGACGCAAGAATCGAAAGAACTAAATATTTCTTCAAAAACGCAATTACCGAAGAAAAGAAGACAACCACTAAGCATGGAAACGTTTACGCAAAACAATATGCAGAGTTTGCCAAAAAATAACGAGCATATTTACTCAACAAAACAGATTTCCAACATTCTNCATACCACAATCTCCTATTTCATCAAGTTATGGACAGTATATTGCCATCTACTAACATTTACTGCTAACTGTAGTATTTCAAATGTGTGACGATGGTCTTACGAAACACGTAAAGCAAATAAGAATATGTTCTATATATGTATAGAAAGTATTTTAAATTATAATTGAGATCCACAACTTCCCTTATTCTGCCTAACATTATTTTCTGATACATTCTACGTACTAAAAATTAATAACTGAATAAAGCAATGCGCTGTGACATATAGAGTTAGTTTTGAAGATTGCATTTGTTCTACTATGATATGAAAAAATTTTATCGTTTATCTACCATATATTACAAATATAAAGGCAAATATTTTTTATTGATAGTAAAGTTTTAACAATGGGTAATTAGATCGTGTATTTTTTTTTAAAAACGAAATAATAGTATGCAGTGCGCATAACATACAATAAATAAATGGATGGCTGCGACTTATGTACAAATGACCTTAGCAGTAATCATTTATTATAATACCATTATTATTACTTATTATTACCTATGCAATTTATACAACGCTGCAAAAAGGCATTTCGTTCAGCATTTTCACTTTTTAATTTCGCGGTGATTAAGGCAGAACATCTTATTTTATTATATATTAACATTGCACAAAAAACTTCTGGCTCGGTTAGTGGCTGTCTATATATAAACATTTTCTGTTACATATTTTATCAAAAAATTGTGTTAAAATGTAAAGACAACTATGAAAAGTGGTTGTACCTACTTTTGAAAACAAGTAACTTCTGGTTCTTTACACAGTACAAAGTATCGACTCGATTTTATATATTGAAAAAATTATAATGTAGTAAAAAAGAAATATCCTTTAAACAAGGCTTCGCCTATTATTAATTTCACTGAAGAAATCTCGATGTATTCATCATAAACGTAATTTCTTATCAAAATATTTTCGAAACAACTGTGTTTGAAATATTTCATGTTTTAATAATTTTTTAATTCTTATTTGTTATTTATAAGAAAGTTTAACTGAAACTGGAAAGATAATAGCAACTTAAGTTTAAGACCACTTTTATGAAACTGTAGAATTTTAAAATAATAGTAACGTCTTGATAAAGCATTCAGCAGATACAAAATAAATGCAATATTAATTAACAGCGTATTCTTGTTCTGCAGATACATTTCAGAACAATCCAAAACCACGTTATTAGTTGTATTAAGGCAGTAAATTATGTAACTATTTGATATAAATACTTTCCTTCAATATTGCACTAAGGTGTAAATATAGTTGCATAAAACATACAAATTTCCTAGAATTTCAATTAGCAACTTATTAATTTCTGAAAGTACTGATCTAGCCTGCCTCAACGAGTAAACATGACGTCTTTTTTTAATAAATATTAAAGTAGGTATAACAACTGTACGAGATTGTTTTTTCTTTCTGTATTATGATAATAAGTTCTAAGTATTTATTATTCTCGTGTAAAAGCTCAAAAAAGGTAATAACTGGCTGCTCGTAAATGTAAGATTGGTTAGAAAATCGTTATTCTTTATGACAAAACTTATCATCATTTTATTTACTGGTAGCCACTCATGCGTATATACGTATTTCTAAATGATGTTTTCATTCATAAAGAAGCTTCCAATTACCATAAAAATAAACTACGATGAATGAAATAAAGGTTAAATCGCAATTTCTTTCGTGGAACATAAACACAACACATTTAATTACAAAAAAATTAAAATTTTGCATTAGAATAGACACCAGACATTTTAAAAATGCGTTTACTTACACATTATTCAAAAATGTAAATAAATGGTCTATTCTTAATTATCTTGAAGATACCCTATGCAGTCATGAGACAAACGAATGTAATCATTCGAAATGTTCAAAACATATTAAAGGTATTAAAAATATAATTACACTGGTGACGAACAAAAACTTGTTTATGTATGTAACTAAACAAGCACGAAGTCGAAAAGAAGTTGTTGATTATGCAAATCCTTTATATATTNTACATTATAAAAATACAAATTTTCACAGAGGTAAGTTCTTTAAAGAAAGAAAGAAATTTTCTTTAAAACTGTTCAGTTAGCTCCATTAATTAATGAAAAGTCAATCAAGATTTCCTGTGTCAGTCAAAGACTTTTGATTTGTTATATTATTTTCAAAATTTCAGTTATAGTAGTTACATACAACAATAATGAATAAAAGTACTGTTAGTGTTAATTCTTTAATAAGCATTCGAGATCCACACAACTTTGAAAGATTACGTAAAAAGTGGTCTGAGCATGCTCGAATGGCAAATAGCAGCACATCCCCCCAGTGTTCATGTAATTCAACAAATAAATGCAAAGGTCGATTTGGCTTAGCATGGGTAACAACACTACCCCATGATTGCTGTGAACCTGTAGAGTGGCATTTTGAAATAATGGATTCACCATCAAAAGTGAAAAAAAAATTCAAGGAAATGGCTAATTTTATAAGTGACCATGGACATTGTCAACACCAAAAGTTTGCTGAATCAAAAAAGATTGCAAATTTCAGTCAGAATAATTTTAACTGTAAGTGGAAGGAAGAGAAAGAAAATAAAAACAGATCGTTTAATGCTGATAAACTGAAGGATGAAAAACAGGAATGTTGTTCTACAACTACAAGTCACACACAAACTGACTCACACCAAATTGAAGTAAATGCTGAATGCAACACCGATAATGAGAATAATTATTCCATATTTCAAGTAAGATTAATCTTCCATTACGAATTTAATTTTTTCATTGACAACTAATGGTATTAGGGACTACAGAACTATTTTCTAAGAGAAATTCTAAGAGAATGTCACGACCAAGTTCAAGATCAAAAAGTATTAAAATACACGAGAAGCAAAAGTATTATGAGAAAAGTGTTTGAAAATAATGGTAAAAAAAATCGGCAAATTTTACAACGGGTTACATTCAATTTAAATACAGGTTTACAAAAGAATAGTTATCCTGAAGAATTGTCTCCAGAAAATCAAACGACTGCATTCCCAATATTGCATGAGAAGCTTTCATCTGATAAAAAGCAAGAACAATGTACATTGAACAAAGAACAAGAGAGTATTCCTGCAAAGAATCAAATTTTTACACACGAATTTTCAAAACAGTTGTGTTTATCATCAAAGAATTACCAACAATCTGTTCAGAAACAGGTAAATGGGCCTACCGAGAAAGACCATCTGGATCCTTATCTATCTTCTCAGAAGGAAAAAGAATTTTGTGCTTGTCATGCGGAAAAGACGCAAGAATCGAAAGAACTAAATATTTCTTCAAAAACGCAATTACCGAAGAAAAGAAGACAACCACTAAGCATGGAAACGTTTACGCAAAACAATATGCAGAGTTTGCCAAAAAATAACGAGCATATTTACTCAACAAAACAGATTTCCAACATTCTTAAAATCCAAGTTTACAGTCCACCAGAAGTGCCAATGTTCACTTCAAAACTGAAGGTTTCATGTTCCAATGATGCATTTAATTCCAAAATTTACAATATAAATAACAAATCAAACTCAAAAATAAATCCCTGCACGTCAAATAATGGGAAAAACAATTCTCATAAAATAAAAAGACTTTTTTCGATTAAAGAGATAGCATGTGGACCAAAAGTATCAACATGTGGATTAAATTTATTAACTTCAAAATCAGAAGTCACAGAAACAAGAACAAGCCGACATAAATCAGAAAAGGAAAATCACATATTAAAATGCAAGGCAAGTTTCGTAGAAGTACAAGGTTTTAGTCCTTCAGCAGAAGATGCTTGCATGGTAAAGACACATGATGAAACAAAACCGAACGTTTGCAAATCATGCCAAAACGTAAATCTAAACTGTACAAAATCTGTAACTTGTATGACCGATGATAATAAAAGAAACGCATTAAAGATGCAAGTTTTTGTCCCCACAAGTATATATGGATCAAACAAAGAAATTCGCTCGTCAAATTTTAAAAGTAGTCCTTTCAACGATCGTGTTGTAAAGATAACAGAACATAATTTTGTTAGTAAGGAAAACTGGCTGACTAATAATAAAATAATTTCATCAAGAGTTAAGACAAGTATAAAGGAAGAAATAAGTTATAATCCAGAAATTGAAATTATTGAACCAGTAAAAAAAATGTATACTCCAAATGAAAACTATACAAAAGGGCAAATTAGTTCTTCTACTTGTTTTCCAGAAGAAACTATGCCTAAACTTTCCTATGACGAAACGAAAAAGAAACAAGTGTCCAAAATTTGTGGTGATACCATAATGCCACCGACAATAAAAAATAAAACCAATGTTAAGTATTATACCTACAATCACAGTTGCTCTGATGGTTCTGTTGCTTTTGAGAAACAGTACACTCAGAGTTCCATATATTTTCGAAAGTCGTGGATGCCCGTTGAAATCTTAAAGAATTTGCTCGGGAAACTTGAAAAGAAAATTGCATCCAGTTTTAGCATGCCGCAAGAAGTTTCTAAAATTTACAACCCGACCCCATTCTCTATTATTAATGACGGAATTAGGGTAAAAGATGTCGATCCATATCAAAAGTAATTCTTTTAATTCCTATATAATGTATTAAATATGATTGTTGTTTACGTTTACAATAAAATTAATAAGAAGCACCAGACGTGGTCAACGTTTTTTAGTTTATTTGTACATTCTACCTAAAATGTTTTCTTTTTACTTTTATCTCTTAAAAATCAAATAATTCAGGAATTTTGGCATTTTTTTCTCATATCAAAATATGGTTTTTAATTAATTTTATTTAAATACGTGTGCTTCTGCCTTAAGAACAATTGAATTAATATATAAAAATTTTACATTTTTATAAAAGTTTAAAACAAAGAAATAAATGAGATTTATGGAATGCCGTATTC